AACCAGCTACGCATATTACCGCGCATCAAGTCCGGGCAAAACTTGCCGCGCGCATTTCTCTCTCGCTTCGGAGAAAAGCAATAATCCCCGAGTAACGAGGCCTTCGCGAAGCGTAACGCGAGAGGGTGTCGGGGGGCTAATGATCCGTTCGTCTCTCCGGTGCAGGCGAAAAAGGTGCACAGGCCGCGATCAATCATATGCACGCACAGGCAGGCAGGCGGGCGGTGTATTAACATATTCATGCGTGACGTCGCATCTGTCCGCCGATCTCGCGTGCTGCCTTTTTTTCGCCGCGTGCGAGACAAGAGAGCGGTCGAGCGAGTATTTAAGGGGCGTTGGAAAAGTGCTCCGCGGAAAAAGTGCGCCGGCGGATTGCGCGCCGCGACATAGTTTTCTCGCTAAGTCAGCGAGGGGGTGCGCTCCTGTTCTACGTTCTCGTTTTCTTCTTCGCATCTGCCGACTGACACGGCGCTATGACGGATTCGCCGATCGGCGTTTCAAGCCTTTTGTAATTGAAAACGACGTTAGATTATGCTCGGTCGGTCTAACGTCGAATAAATTGCCGTTGCTTTATGACGCAATTGTGTAATTAAACCGTCGCCGAGTTCGCAAGGTGAAAATAACAATTGTCCTCGAGATACATCAAATTCCAACTTATTCGAACCAAACAGTATTGAAAATAGTCACGGACGCACACAACGCCCTGCCTTGCGTGAAATTGAAATTTCCTCGACAAAGTATTGTTTACCAAATCGATCACTTCTCGTTTTTTTTTTCTTTCCTTGTTCCCTTAGTCGCACACATACTAAAAATAACCTTTGAGCATATCCACGCACACGTGCTCACACGCACACACTCACACTCGCAACTCGATCAATCTAGTTCACTTCTCGTTTTCTTTTTTTCAACACGCGAAAACTCCGAGGATAATTGATGGACCGAGTTTTTTCTTGACTTTCACCGACAGTCAAGACGATCCCATAGGAATCTTGTTTGCAGTTTCGCTAAAGAGACGACAATCGAGTGGTTTTCCCTACTTTAGTGTTTTACGAGAAATCACCAGTTCATTTATCATTCTGAAAATCACGGTTATGAATTTTATCGGCGTGAGAAAGAAAAAAAACGAACGAGTATCTCTGGCAATTGACGAAACTGTCGTAGTTTCCTTTTTTTCCAATTGATGATGTCTGAACAGTGCAAGATGAGAGAGAAAAAAAACTTGCCTCGGCAATTAGTAATATCCGCGTTAGTTGAAAACGTTGTTCCGAGTCTCGTTCACACGAATTTTCTCCGCCTTTTTTTCTTGAAACGCTCCTTTTCACAAAAAAAAAATACATCGTACGATTATAAACCGTTAACAATGAGTCGATACGCAATGAAAAAAAAAAATCCATGCGCATGCTCGATCCGCGCCGCAAACTATCACTAAATCTGCCGACACAAAATTTTTCGTAAAAATGCACACGTTAAAAACAGGTTTTCCGATTAGAATAATACGCGGGTTTGTTAATAGGCGCGAATTCATAACTAATCCTTTGAATTATATCGCGAGGCGCATCTGTTTTCGCGCGCGCTCGTTAAATTGGACAGTTTTGAAAATCCGGTTGCTCGCCGCGGGCATCGAGGTCATTTTTTTTGTTTGCCCGATGATTTATGGGGGCGCGCATACACAGAGAGCTCTCAATGTGTTCTTTCTTTTGTTGGCAGCGCGAGTACGCGCAAATGCGATTGATATTGCCGGTGCACACGATCATTGTGGCGAGTTAATGTTTTTTTTTTGACTCTCTCTCTCTTTTTGTTGTTGTTATTATTCGAGTGGCGATTATTAACGATTCTGATTTATAATGGCGCACAGAAGGTATACATGGCTCGAGTGTTTTCGACATGTATGCGCGGCGCAAAACGTTTATCCGCTTGGAAATTTACCCCTTTTGTTTTCTTTAATTTGGCTGCACTTTGGAGTGAGTTTGTGTTTGATTGTTTAGTTTTTTGATTTGATATTCTATCAACTAGATTTTTGACGTCAAAAATACGTAGCTTCTGATCAGGCTTATAATTTAACTAGAGTCTCCGCCATAAAGATTTTATAAACTAGTGATTTCCAGCGCAATAGATGCACTCATCATTATTTCGCATTCACTTCAATGCACGAATATAGATCAAAACTTGGTGAAAATTGGTGAAAACGAAAATTCGAAAATTCAGTATACATTAAATGTTCCCATGATTTGATATGAGATATAATTGATGATATTAAAAAGTTAGGAAAATGCGATAAAAAAAATTATATTTAACTATAATCATATCCTTCACGATGTAAAAACATACTTCGATACAGACGTACATGATTCTAACGACTGCATTTTCAAAAAACTTTTCCGGTATTTGACGCAACTGAATGATGCTGAAATTACTGTACAATATTTTATCGTGATAATCTATAGATTTAGATCTTTTATTGTCTACTTTATTTATTCGAAACTAAACTTTCACGTAAAGAAAAGTCCAATTAATATCTTTATCGAGGAATCAATTAGTTTTTATTCTTAGTTTATGATGATTAAACCAGCCATTTATATTTAATTATTGCTAAATTTACTATTACACTTTTTGAACATTTAATCATTTACGAAAATCTACAGTAATCTTTCATAAGGGTATACAACATACATGTACTATTACGTAACAGCTGATCACATAACTATCTTTTAGCCAATCAAATCACAAATAAACTTTGCCGAGTTCTCTTTTTTATAAGAAGAGAAGGATTTTCAATTTTTTTTTTAATTTTAACAAATAAATTTCATTTTCAGAATTTGCTTTTATTATGTCAATCAAATACTTAAAAGATTTCGTGCATTATTAAACTTTTTTTAAATACTAAAAACATTTAATTTTGTAATATTCAATTTGTTTGACTAAGACATATATGGTTAAGCTTATATTAGTTTTATGTCAATAATTTTGAAAGCAGCTTTAAGTAGATACCTGCAAAGGTGAAATGTATTACATTGTCTATCTTTTATTTTTAACATTAAATGATAAATTTCGTATGAGTTCATAAATAGTGAATTTTATGGCAGCTTGTTGGTATAATCTTTTTCCGGGAATAAATAAAATTTAATTTTTATTTCATTCATATAGCTTGAATAAAATATCAACAATTGACGTAAACAAACCCCTGAAATATATAATCTTCAAAAAAGAATGTATAATATTTCAGTTTCATTGTCATTACAGAAAAATATCTATGCGATTGTTTGCTTGCTAGTGAATATATTTGTAGAAATTTTCCAATATTCAAATCGAAAATGAGTTTCGTACCAGACAATTCCGTTATACGGGCGCACGCATGAAAGAATCGTAAAAAAAATGAAAAGTCAACACAATCGAATATTCATGTTGTTTTCATGCTATCCAAGTCGACCGAAATAAGTCTACGGCATGATCGCAATCTTATACACGGGCCGTCTCAAAAGTGTCAACGACGACCGCACGTGCCAACGGAAACTTTTCTTCTTCGGGGATCAAGTTAAAAAAGGAAAAAGAAAAGAATCATCGACATTCGAGAGAGATAATGGCTGTCTTTTTCCGGACGAAAGCAAATCGATCGATAAAAGTGAGGTGCTCCGACTAATAGATTAGACAGAGCCGAAGACGCGAACGCAGCTGGACGTCCGTGTGTCTGCAGATGCGTGACTATCGATGAGGAAAACGTTTCTTCTTTTCCTTTGTGTATCGGGGGTGGCAACCGCTTGAGGCGATTAGCACACCCGCCAAGCACGATTTTCCTAGAGAGATTAATGGAGGCCTTTTCAATCAGAGAGAACACCCATACTTGTGATTAATGTTGCTCGATTAATTAGCGCTTAAGTTGAGGACGATGCGTCCTACATTTCTCTGTTGCTTGCACTTGGCGATTGCAGCTTGTAATCTGTCTATGTAGAATAATATGATCTTGTTTCTTAAAAATGACACGTTATCTACTGAATAGTTAATTACTTATTATTACTATTACTTCATCGTCGTTCATTTAAAGTAAAATAAATATAAAAATACTTTTTTTTTCGTTATTTTACCAACATTATTGATGATTAAGTATTTATTACCACTAGACAGTGAACTCTGTTAATTTATCAAGAACATTGAAAACAAATAAAAAATTATAAATATTTCAATCGTAAAAGTGTTTTACTTCCAAAAAAAATCTCATTGTATTCATGCAAAGAGAAAAATACCAGAATGTTGAAAAGTCCATGTAATACTGTCCGTTTTTCAAAAAAACAAGCATTTATCGATGACCGCAGATCCCCCTCAAATCGCCATAGGCATGTACATATATAAATGCGTTTCCTATACACTAGTATAAAAGTCTATTTCATACGGGCATTTGCAACATACAATACAAAAACCAATATAACAGAGTCACCCTCTTGAAGACGAAAATCCTTTTAACGCGACACCTTGAGAGAGAGAGAGAGAGAGAGAGAGAAAACCACGGGCCATTAGTTGAAGAACCCGGGAGAGAAAAATCTCCCCATTATCCTTAAAGCATCTGCCGCACGCGACTGCATCGCAGCTTGCAGCTCTGCATCTTTAAAATCCTATATCGTTCCTCTTTTATTTATCGCGTCTCTTCAGAATGTCCTCCGCTCCAGGCTTGTTGAATAAGTAGTTATAGCCAATTAACTCGTTTAGAAGGCAAAGAACATTTGGAAGAAAGTTCAGATGGGACCATTGGTTATTACAGGATAAACAGATGCTCTTTTGTAAAAACCATAAACACGAAAGCGCAGGCACGATTTGGAAATTAATTAATTCAAATTTAACGGTCGAAGCTTTTGATTTACAATTCAATACGTTATATGCGCGCAGTGTACAAAATAATGAAATGACGTCCATCAAAGAAGCCATTTGCTTCCGCTGAAAAATTCATTAAAAGCTGAATACCCAATGAGCGACGTGGAAAATAAACTAAAAGCTGCGTCTGTGTGTTACAGGAGGCAACAGCTCGAGCAGTCTGTCTACTGCGAGGCGGACTCGACACGCAGGAGTCCAGGCGAGGATCGCCACGATGCCAGAGGCACGGACAAGCTCAAGGTGAGGCACCGCGCGCTCGAATAAAAGCCTGCGCCAATTAAGTAATTGCGCTTCGAGGACTATGCTCCTCCGCTCGACACAACCCTCCAGGCAAATTTCGATGCTGCTGTACGCTTCGTTAGACTCGTGGCTGCTGCCGCTTCTGCTGCTCCTGTCTATCTGGAACGCACACGCGAGATTCCATTTTTTTAGCTTTTTGACTCTACTTTTTTCAACAATGGAATTTCAGTTGTTTTGTTTGATGGATGGTTTCCTTTAGTATTCTTTAAGGATCGCCAATTTTTCTAAGAACTTTCGAAAGCAATCACATCGAATACTAATTCCAAACGTCTCGTCCTTAACAATGCAGTGTGCTAAATATTCATGGAAATTAGAACGACGTTAACATTTTCATAAACGCTTCTAGAGCACATCATCTTCCAAGGCTATCGAGCAAAGCTTGTAACGCTCGAAGTCACGATGTGGAAGAAAGAGAGAGAGTGAGAAAAAAAAAACGAGCGTTTAATTGGAAAGAAATTGCGCGCTGAAAGAGAAATAACCAGTTAATATTTAACGCGGCGCGCAAAGTAAGCGAATTTTTTAATTAAAAACAGCGCAAAGGCGCTACTTTTACGGCGTCCACGTTCGATTAAGCTTCACGCCAGAAAACGGAGGTTTGCGCGTAGTCAGAGTGTTTGATATTCGTTCGCTCGATTATTATCAACGGTTTCAATTGAATTTTTGCGATGCAGTTGCAATATCGATCGTTGCCTGTATGCGTACGCCGTTCACGGCCAATTAGATATGTAGACGAAACACACCGCCGTGAAAAAAAAAATCACCGTGAAACATGATGCTTACAGGGCCCGACGCAGGATCTGTTCGAGCTGCTCGAGCGGGTGCAGAGTTCGCGGCTGGACGACCAACGCTGCGTGCTTCCTCCCTACTTTAGTCAGGTAAGGAAACCCCTTTTTTTTTTAACTATCACCTTGAAAAAAACGAAATTAGCCTAGTCACGCGCACGCGCCCACTTTCTTTAAGGGAAATTCACGTCCTTCTTCTTTCATTTTTACACTAGTCACGAGGAAATCGCTTCGGAATTATGATTAATGGTAAAAGCAAATTGAAGAAAGTGTGCACAACGAATCGTTCGAGTGCGCGATAAGAAAAGACGTTTTTATACGTGACAGCTGCGAATCTTTCTATACACATATTCATACAATAACTGTGACAGAAATATGGAACATTGGATCATTTGTGTGTGTGCGTGTGTGGGTCTTCGTGGTTTCGTTCGGAATTGAAGGAAACAAGACGATTCAACATTTCGTATTCAAAGCTTTCGTTTCGTTTTTGTGTATGAAAATTAAATTTTTAGCGTTACTTCTTCCAGTATATTTGGTTTTCTATTCATACCGAGCTCCGTCTCATTCAAATGTTAAAAAGCTTACCAGATGCGAAAATTCTTCGTACCTCATTTCTCTTTTCAATCGAATTACAGCCTTTTCATGTATATAAATCCAGATTAAATTGTTGTATGACCGACGATTAACTTCCAGGAAATAAATTGAAAAACTGAAAATGACTCGACCAGCTAAGTATATATATAGCATTGCTCTAATTTCTCAATTTATTTGGGCCATCATATCTACAATCAATATCTCCCCACAGTATTTTTATCCCAATTTATTGTCGTACATATCACACATCGGAAATATCCTTCTTCGAAAGAAAAATCTATGACCTACCTTCCACGTAAATAGAATAAAACCATCGTTGATTTTCCTTAAAAACGAGTAGACTACGTGTAACATTCTTGATGTCGTCTTCCTGTCCGCAATATCCGGATGTTCGCGCAGGGAGGAGGGAGGGTGACAGGAAGAGAAGCAAAAGCGCTGGCCGCTCTTTTATGCGTGTCGAGGACTCGCGTTATACCGAAATGAACGGTATTAGCGTTGGTGTCGCTACTCGAGACTGAAAAGTAAACGAAGAACAAAATGTGAAAGAGTCAGTTGACGAGAGTGCGCGCGCGTGCCGCCGGATAATTCAATTAGAGAAAAAGCCAGAGTGAGCTTGTATTTTTTCCCCGTCGACCAGGGGGTTAGCGGTGATGGGGTTGGCTGAAAAATGACGCTAACAGCGGGCTTATTTACGACCAAAGGCGGGCTAAATTATTTTTAATGTGTCATTTCGGCGACGATTTGTTACCTTTCTTGAGCGATCGTCATGCGGCTGACAAGTCGTGACTTGTGATACTTGTCAACAACAAAATTGTTCGATAATGTCGGTAAAGGCTTACTAATGCACGTTGCTATAAATCCACATAATTGAATTTCACATTTACTTTTGGAAGTAAACAAATTATATCATAGCAGTATAGTCTCTCAAAATAATGAAAATGTGGCAAATAACTAGCACAAACTGAAACCAAGAATCGATCTCCGAATCAAATTGCACAACGTCATTGTAGTCGCGTTTTGTCTCCCTTTTATCGATTTATCGTTGTGATCGTGATAATGACCAATGAGGCACGACTTCTAAACGTTCAACAATTCGGAGATCGATGAGCCTGATTTTTCACGCGCTCGGAAATGTTCACCCCTCGCGTGCAAGTTCGTACTTTTCCCTGGAAAAAAATGAAGTGTGACCAAACAAAAAAGAAGGAATTTCGGATTATTGCATTGTTCACCCGCGTGATACCCTTGAATGAAAAATCGTTGCGCGTCTCGCGGATTTTCGACGCTGCCTTGATACTTTCGGATTACACGAGGATCAGAGATTTGATTTTTCCCGTTCGTCGTTATTTGAAAAATGATTGGCGATGGATTATGAAATTGTAGTGCGGATATATTTCACTTAAAAAGAAATGGTGTTTTGAGATATTTTGAAAATACTATACGAGTGGTAGTTATACTTCGACATTTCAAGTCTTTTATTATTTTTACTTGACGATGGACGGATGATTTTCAATACATGTTATCCATATACGATACCGTTGGCAAAGAGCATGAAACGTGCAATTATCATTTTATTTAGAATAAAAATTTGACGATGTTAATTAACTTGCCTTATCCTTAAAATAATGACATCATTACCCTCGAGAAACAATCGCAACAATAACTGCCATGACAATGCGCATCCAGTATAAATAAAAATCGATAATCAAAGAAACTCGTGCCTCCCTCAGCCTCACTGATACTGAAGAGCATACAGATATACACATCTCAAGAAAGTATATCCCGTTAAATAAAGAAACGGTGATCCTTCCTTTCACAAGCATCGTCATCGCAAATCGCAACGCATCCATCCGTGGCAAATCATCATGATCTCTCGTGCTATGTCACGCTAGAGCAAATCCACTCACTCTCTCGAGCGAAGTTCATCGATTAGGGTGGGCTACGCGATGAGTCGCCGAGAAAAAAAAAGATTAAAAAAAAACGTTTTTTCCCCTCCATATCATTGTCGCGTGCTGTTCCAATCGAACAATTAGTGAAGGGGAGTCGAGGTGAAAGTCTAATTGCCGATACAGCGGATCCTATCTGGCTCTGTCGCGCGGAATATGTAAACATTATGAATGTGCAAGGATTAGCGATACGAATCTCGACGAGGCATCCATCTAAACGGTTAAACGCGCGCGTGTATAACTACTTCTCTCGTCGAGCAGAAGGACGCGGGGGTAAAGAAGAGAATTCGGATCGGCGCCGTGGCAGCTCATTTGGCGCGAAGCCGCATTAGAAAACAATAAATACGCGCAAGTATAAATCTAAATTTTCATTAAAATATCCGCTTGGAATAAAGAACAATCAAGAGATCGACTTCTCGCCGCGAGATATGATAAATCATCGCCCCGAGGCGGCGGCAGCAGGCAGAACGAATTTCAATTTCAGCTCTCTCGCGCCGACGTGATAAATATTTCCCGATCGGGCAATCCGAGTCAAGGCAAGTGGTAATCAGAGCGCTGGCCGCACACTCCCTATATACGCGTTTATGTTAATACACATACTCGCACGCGAGAGCCAAAGATATGCACGCGCGTATTAATTCGGCCTTTCGAATTCCGATGCGACGAGCGTGAAAAAAGAAACGCGCGAAGCGCACCTTGAAACAACGCTAACGGGGCTAGCTTACGCCCGTGCATGCGGACGTAAGCTAGCCATCCTCCGAATTTCATAATTATCTTGCAAATACTGACTTCGCTCCGCGTGATCTTTATCAGTATTATTTGGCAATCGATATTCAAAACATGAGAAACTACCAGCGCTATGCGGAACAATCTTTTGGACTCGAGCTAAACGATTACGTTTCTATCAGAATTCATCATCCTTCAAGTACCATCTTGATGTTGGATATTGACTTGGCAGCAATAAGCTTTTTTTGTAGTACATTTCCGAGTAACAAATATATAGATACCCGGATTGTACGCTATATAAATTTAGATAATATGAATTGTAAATACCACTACAAAAAATAATCATTTGTATATAAAACCTCTACAATACTACAATACACAGTAACCGAGAGACTCCAAATAAATATACGTATTCCATCGTCAAACTACATTACTCTTCTGAAGTATCTAAACTATTGTGCCACTGTCCTTGTATGCTGCTGAGTTTGCTCGTCTTCAGTTTCCGGACAGTCTACGAGCTTTGCATAATGCTCAATCGGATTATATACCCGATTTGCGTACCTCGTGGATTCTTTTTCTGCGTGTTTATTTCATTTTGTATTCACAGAGGCGGTGTTTGGTTTTGGAATCAAGCCAAAAATTCGCAGGGCTTCGTGGGCGGGTGGTTTCTCTCTTAGTCAATTAGGCAAATTGAGTAGGAAATTCAGTTTAGCTGTTAGTTCTATAGGGTTCATTACTTTGATACAAGCTATGCATATAAAAATATCAATAAATTTTTTCTGTATGATCGCGAGAGTGGCTTATAATAAATAGTGTCTTTTTAAAAATAAATGATTTTTGTTTAAATACATAGAGAACTTTTAATATATTCACCGAATTAAAAATATGCGGTATTGAATACATCAATTAACATGGTATTTCCCTCATTACGGCAGTTCTAGTGTACGATGAAAATATTATTTACATGATATAGCTGAAAATTTGTAATTCCTATCATTTTGTCTTTGCGCTGAACATCATTAAATCGTTTAACTTCGTAAACTTTACATACGCAAAATATAATCGACGTTAAACATACCACAAAACATCGATAAATTTGGCCCAATATAAAATAGACATGATAACGAATAATGCCGTCACTCTTCGCACAAGTAATTGCATTAGTCAGACGGCAAAAGAGCAAACAAAAAGATTGAGTATAGTAAAAGTGAGGAAGTCGCCGCTCATGTACACGTTTTTGCCGCGAGAATAAGCAGAAGACGCCGGATATGCACCGCCAAATACATATGTACCATTTGAATTTTCTTCCCACTCCGTGTCTCTTTTCATAAACGTCAACAGCTGTGTCAGTTCAAAAAAAACTCCCGTTGTATGTTTCGCCAGCTCAAAACGAAGATGAGCGGGTTGCCTGCCATGTGGCCGGCACGTGCTTATATTGAGATTCTCTTTCTCTTATCTGTTATCCAGTGAAAGTTCAACTTTCACCCTCGGCTTTTTGTTGCGTTCAGCTGTTGCACAGATCGATCATTGGGTCATGGGGGATGAAAAATAAACTACGTTATCCTACTGGGGAAAGTGAGTCGGTATGGTAGTGATACAGTTATATGCGGTCGGTAAATGAAATGTGACTTCAGTCGGTAATTTAACGGCAGCGAGTAAAGCGACGTTCCTACTTCACCGATAAAAGATAGTCGATTATTATCCAAAATGATTATTATTTAAGCCGATGGTAATTTATATATTTAATAAAATGCTCGTTGACATTTTTCACTGGATACTGTAGTGTATACCAAACTAACTATGAAGAATATTTTACGAATGCTGTACTTT